TTTTAATTTGATAAAAGTCCAATTTATTTTTTCTTTTACGGTGTTATATTTAAGAACTCTTTGGTTAACTCATGATCGTGAAGATTTTTCTCCTATTTTTTCTTCTAAGTTTTCTGGTTTTGGCGGGGTGCGGTGGCTCACACCTGTAATCCCAGCACTTTCGGAGGCTGAGGCAGGAATTCAAGACCAGCCTGGGCAACATGGCGAGATCCTACAATTTTTTAAAAAAAATTTAGCTGGGCATGGCAGCACACACTTATAGTACCAGCTACTCAGGAGGCCGAGGCAGGAGGATTGATTGAGCCCAGGAGGTCAAGGTTTTAGTGAGCCATGATCACACCGCTCTATTCCAGGGAGGGGAGCAGAGTGAGACCCTGTCTCAAAAAAAAAAAAAAAAAAAAGTTTTACAGTTTTAGTTCTTACACTTCTCTGTATGATTCATTTTGAATTAATTTGCATGTGAATATCCAGTTGTTCAAGCACCATTTGTTAAAAAGACCATCCTTTCCTCATGTGTTTTCTTAGGTTACGTGTTAAAATACTTACTGTGTTCCATTATTTAATTTTCTACATCAGAGGCTCCATTTATGGGTTTAGTGATGCTCTTTGGTTTTATCTATATCTGTCATTTTCTTCCCGATGCTTTTCTGATCTATTCTTTCCATTTCATTTCAGTCACTTTTCTCATTTCTATCCTTGTTTCCATGCCTCTCACTGAAGTGTCTGCAGCGTCTAATCTCCCGTGGACTACTTATGCTACCTTCCCGTCTCTGTTTTTGTTTTCTCTGCTACTTGTTTTCTGAGGTTCGCGGGCTCACGTTGCCTCACGTGTGTCCTGAGCTCCTTCAGGCAGTGTGTTTTTGCTGGCACTTTCTGCAATCTGCCCCTACTCAGAGCGCTTCCCGCTGTCTGTCTTGCTAGTCGTGTCCCCCAGGCGGCTGCTGCTGCTGCACTTCACGCCTTGGCTTCGGTGGCGGTCACAGTTGCTTTTGGCAGTCCTCACGTGTATTTTGAGTCTGCAGATTATATCTGTCTCCTTGTTTTGCTGAAAACTGAGTTATTTTCCTTCTCCTTGTTGCTTTTGTAAGTTCTCCAAGAGTTGGAGAGGAAAACTGCTGTTGTGTATCCTCACACCGAGAGCCCCAGGCACGCGTCCCTGCTTATTTATCATTCTTGTCTTTCACACAAAGGCCAGGGTCTGAAACTGGTGTCTTCCAAAAATCCTGGAAAATTATATTTTCCCTTTGAAAATTACCTCTTCCCCACTATATCTCCTTCCGGAACTCACTTTGTCCTCTGTGGACCTTCTCCTTCTGTCCTTCATATTTTTAAATCTCTTCCATATTTTTCATCTTGTCCTCTCTCTGGGCTACATTCTAGATGATTTCTTCTAGGTGTTCGTAGAAAGTCCTTAGGTGACCATTCTATTTAAATTACTCAGCATCTCCCTTGTTCCCTTCCTCGATTTTCTCCTTAGCATTTTCCATCTTCGACACACTGTATTTTACGTACTGATTTTGGGTGTTTTGCCCCACTATTTTTTAATTTAAGTAAACTTTCAATTCAAGTAGAACATACTTATGGAAAAGTACACAAATCAAAGTGTCAAGCTCAGTGAATTATCACAAAGCAAACATGCCCTTGTAATAGCACTCAGATCATGGAGTGGGAGCACTTCAGAGGCCCCTGTGCCCACCCCACCCCTCCAAGGCCCTCTAGATCATTCGGATCGAAAGGAGCGAGTATCAAGCACGCATACATGCAGCTCAAAACACTGCTCAACCACAGCCACTCCTCACCTCCATGGCATGACCATAGTTCACTGCAGCCTTGAACTCCTGGCCTCAGCCTCCCAAAGCACTAGGATTGCAGGCACGAGCAGGCATGAGCTGCCGTGCCCTGCCTCTTTAATATATTTTTTATATATTATTATTATATAAAAAATATTATATAAAAAATATTATTATATAAAAAATATTATGTGTATTATTTTGTATCTGGTTTCTTTTGCTCACTGTTCTGTTTGTGCAGTGTGTTCACAGATCCAGATGACATAGGGTAGTCACAGCTCATTCACTGACTGCTGTGTATTATTCTATTGTGTAAATGTACCATAATTTATTTATCCTTTCTACTACTGAAAGAGATTTTTGAGAGATTTTTTTTTTTTCTTTTTTTGAGACGGAGTCTTGCTCTGTCACCCAGGCTGGAGTACAGTGGCCGGATCTCGGCTCACTGCAAGCTCTGCCTCCCGGGTTCACGCCATTCTCCTGCCTCAGCCTCCCGAGTAGCTGGGACTACAGGCGCCCGCCATGTCGCCCGGATAGTTTTTTGTATTTTTTAGTAGAGACGGGGTTTCACCGTGTTAGCCAGGATGGTCTCGATCTCCTGACCTTGTGATCCGCCTGTCTCGGCCTCCCAAAGTGCTGGAATTACAGGCTTGAGCCACCGCGCCCAGCTGAAAGATTATTTTATTTATTTATTTATTTATTTATTAATTTATTATTTATTTGAGCAGGAGTCTCGCTCTGTTGCCCAGGCTGGAGTGCAGTGGCGTTATCTCGGCTCACTACATCCTCCGCCTCTCGGGTTCAAGTGATTCTCCTGCCTCAGCCTCCAAAGTAGCTGGGATTACAGGCACACACCACCAATCCCAGCTAATTTTTGTATTTTTAATAGAGATGGGGTTTCACCATGTTGACCAGGCTGTCTTGAACTCCTAACCTCAGGTAATCCACCCGCCTTGGTCTCCCAAAGTGCTGGTATTATAGGCATGAGTCACTGTTCCTGGCCCTTTTTTGTTGTTGTTTTCAAGATGGGGTCTCACTCTGTTGCCCAGGCTGGAGTGCAGTGGTGCAATCTCGGCTCACTGCAACCTGCGCCTCCTAGGTTCAAGTGATTCTCCTGCCTCAGCCTCCCAGGTAGCTGGGATTACAGCTGCCCACCACCACACTCGGCTAATTGTTTTTTTTATATGTTTAGTAGAGACAAGAGTTTCTCCATGTTGGGCAGCCTGGTCTCAAACTCCAGGCCTCAGGTGATCCTCCCACCTCAGCCTCCCAAAGTGCTGGGATTACAGGCATGAGCCACTGCGCCTGGCCAAGAGATTTTTTGAGAGGTATTTTGGCTGTTTCCAACTTTTGGCTGTTGTGATGAGAGCTGCCATGAACATTCTTCTCCGTGTGTCTCAGTGATGCCCTTCTCTTGGGTGTATACCTAGGAGTGGAGTTGCTGGGTTAGGAGCGTGTACACGGGTTCTCAGCTGCTCACTTTCGTGGAACTTTGTGGGCATTCTCTGAGGTCTGGCTAACGTTGCTTCTTCCAGCTACCTGGGGCACTGCCTAGCAGGGACCACTATTTTTATTTACTTATGACCACTTTATTTTATTGATTGGTTGAGACACAGTCTCACTCCGTCACCCAGGCTGCAGTGCAGTGGCATGATCACGGTTCATCGTAGCCTCAAACTCCCGGGCTCAAGCCCACCCCAGCCTCCTGAGTAGCTAGGACTACAGGTGTGAGCCACCATGGTTGGCTAATTAGAGACAGGGTCTCACTATGTTACCCAGGCTGGTAACAATCTACTGGAGACCACTTTAAATTAAATTTTTTGTTGGACACTCTTCAGGCTACACAGATAACATCAGCACTGAATGCCAATGTCCGTGAGGCCCCACTTGCTACAAATCTGGGGCAAGATTTTCTTCCCCTCCACCCAGAGAGCCACACTGGAGACAGGCAAGCTTCCCCGATGTCCCCTCCCGCGTGATGCGTCAGTTCTCATTCCCCCGGCCCCAACGGCTTAGGGTTTGGAGCTCGTGCTTTGCATGGTGTATTACCGCCATAACAAAGCCCTACAAACCAGGTGGTTTTAGACAACAGAAACTCATTCTTTCACAGGTCTGGAGGTCAGAAGTTCAAAGTCAGGGTGTCAGTGTTGATCCCTGCCAAGGGCTCTGAGGGAGAATCTGGCCACGGCTCCCTCCTGGCTTGTGGCGGTTGCTGTGGTCCTTGGTGTTCCTGGGCTCGCAGCTGCGTCCTGCCAGTCCCTGCCTCCGCCCTCACACGGCGTCTCCCTGTGTCTGTCCTCACTCAACTGCCATCTCTGTCTCCCTTCTTATAAAGACACCAGTCATTAAGGGCCCACCTGCTCATCCTAACTCATTACATCTGCAAAGACACCCCTTCTCCAAATAAGGCCACATTCTGAGGTCCTGGGGTTTAGGACTTGAGTACGCCTTTCCGTGGGGGGCACAGCCAGTCTGTAGCACGTCGGTCCCTGTTAGACTGCCCACCCCGGTCAGCCCTAGGCTTTCTCTTCTGCCCCCCGTTCCTCCTGTAGTTGCCAAAGAAAAGCACAAGTTCTCCAAGAAGTTTCCAGAAATTTGGAGAACAAAAGTCCGCTTTGGCTTTCGCTTGCCTCACAGATTTTCTGCAGGTTACATGTTCGTTTTCTGTGGATTTCTGCCTCAAAGGCCGACTCGGCAGCAGTGTGGTTCAGAATCCTTTACGTTTGGTCTTGCTTCCACCTCATTTCAACAAGGAACATGGCGAGGAAACCCAGTCTGTGGCACCCATCAGTGGTGTTTATCTATATGTATCCCCCTGCCCCCGTCCCACCCGGAGTCGTGCCCTGTGCCCCTACTCCTGGCGTCTCGCTTGAGGTTCAAAACCCAGGGCTCTGGAGCTAGGCGCCTGCGTTTTGACCGCCTGGCTATGCCACCTCAGGGAAACTGCCTCCCATTGCTAGCATGGATTTCCCCACTGTAAACTGGGGACTCTGGAAGATCATGTGACAATGAAAGGTCAAAGTGCACACATTCTCACATTCTGTTAGGCCGCAGCCCAGCCTCCCAGCTGGAGGGCTCCAGTTAGCATTGTTAGCAAATCGCATCTTTGAGGGTGAAGTGGTCCAGAGAGGTCCTCGAGAGAACACAGTGAGAAGAGACCTCCCAGGATCCCCCAGACACCCCATCCCTCCACGTGTCTCTGTGTCTCAGGGAACATCTACCATTATGTGCCCTGGTACAACATCAAGCCTGTCGTGGCTGTGACCTCCAACTGGGAGGACGTCAGCTTCCGCATGAACTGCCTCAACCTCCTCCACTTCACTCGGGACCGCCTGGTGAGTGGTGCGGGAGCCGATGCTGGGAAGGGTTCAGAGTGTGGCTGGGAGACGGGAAACTGCATCACAGTGGCAGGAAACTGGTCACACAGCTCATTCATGTATTCATTCCACACTGTTGAGAAGAACATGCCAGAAGCAGGGCTATGCGCTGAAGACACAAGGATGATTAAACACAGCCCCTGTCCTCACTGTCTAGGGAAGTTGGACATGCAGGCAGTGACTGTGCAGTGCAACTAGGGCTATGATGGAGATGCAGGTACCAGGTGCTATAGGGTCAGAGAGAGAAGGTGGGGAGAGGAGAGGAAGAGAAGATAGTGAGAGGAGGTGTGCACGAAAGAAATGACACATTAGGCCGGGCGCGGTGGCTCAAGCCTGTAATCCCAGCACTTTGGGAGGCCGAGACGGGTGGAACACGAGGTCAGGAGATTGAGACCATCCTGGCCTACACGGTGAAACCCCGTCTCTACTAAAAAATAAAAAAAAAAAAAAAACACTAGCCGGGTGAGGTGGTGGGCGTCTGTAGTCCCAGCTACTCGGGAGGCTGAGGCAGGAGAATGGCGTAAACCGGGCAGGCGGAGCTTGCAGTGAGCTGAGATCCAGCCACTGCACTCCAGCCTGGGCGACAGAGCAAGACTCCGTCTCAAAAAAAAAAAAAAAAAAAAAAGAGATGACACATCAGCAGGGTTTTGAAGAATGCATAGGAGTTTGTTGGGGGCTGGGTGGGGGTAGAAGGGAATAACATGCAAAGCCACAGCAATGTGCTGGTTTTTGAAGTTCGACAGGGTCGGGGGGAGGCATGGAGGTGACATGAAGATCCGACCATGGAAGCTGGAAGGAGTGAGATCACAAACGGTCTCATGTGGCTGTCGGGAGTGTAGTTCTCGGGAGCCACCTGGGGCTGGGACCTCCGGCATGACTTTCTCACGCCTGTGTGGAGGTCAGTGCTCTGCACTGCTTCCCAGTCTTACCCCGTCCCAGCTTCTTGCCACCTGTTTCTTCTGTTGGAAGGATGTGGGGGGGTCCTAGCCTCGGAGTTGTGGATGACCTTGAACTGATATCACCAAGTTATGCCTCAAAGTTCCCAAGGTCGTGGCTGAAAACATCTTGGGCCAATCAGCCCTGTGGCCTGTCCAGCTGGGCTCCATGCTGAGGCGGGCTCTCTTACCGTTTCTCTCCTGCCGGGCAGAAAGCCAACCTGGACACCCTGAAATCCACGCGGAATCCGAAGGACCCAGCTCTCCTCTGCCAGTGGGAGAAACTGCTGAGGGAGCTGGTGGAGGACTGCAAGTAGGAGTAGGGGCAGTCTGGGGTACAGCTGGCCTGGAGTTGAGCCAGATCCAGGCCTGGGGGCTCAGAGTAGTGCCCTGAACACCTGCCCCCACCCTCCTTGGGGAGGAGCACTGCTCAGACCTCTCCCCAGCAGGAAACCCCAAGAGTCACTTCTCCCTTCCCATTCAGGCCCCCTGACCGCCCCATCAGAATGGTCCCTGCTGCCCCACACCCACGCCCGAGGCTCCTACCGAGTCAACCTGTCCCCTTCCTGCAGACAAGCCCGCACAGCCCCACCTCCCTGCAGGCCATGGTAGAGGGCTGGATGAGAACCCAGGGCTGGACGCACAGCGAGCAGGCTTCCTACGGAGCGGTGGGAAGGGCTCCCGGGCCAGGCCAGCAGCAGATGGGGGCAGGATGTTGAGGTCAGGAGGGGCACACTGGCCTAAGGCAGGGCACTGGTGACACTGGGAAGCAGTAGAGAGGTCCAGCCCCTGCTACCCTGTCCTGGCCACAGGCGCCCTCTTCCCTGCATGACCGACCAGCCCAAAGCCACCAACCTGGACAGGAAGAGGTGGCAGCTCCGCAGCCTCCTCCTGCAGGAACTGGCCCAAAAGGCCAAGCAAGCCATGCCCAGGGACATGGTGGCCACAGCGGAGAACTGGCTGTACCGCCTCAACGCTGTGCTCCCTGAGGTGGGTGCTGCACACACCGGCCTGGAGCAGGGCTGGGAGCCGGCTGCACAGGGCCTGACGTTCTCCCACCTTGGCAGCCCCAGATGGGCCTTCCTGACGTGATGATTTGGCTGGTGGCCAAGGAGCAGCGAGTGGCCTACGCACAGGTGCCTGCCCACTCTGTCCTCTTTTCCCGGGCAGGGGCCCTGCACTCCGGCAGGCTCTGTGGGAAGATACAGACACTCCTCCTCCAGGTGAGAATCAAGGGGTCCTCAGGGGAGGACAGGGCCAAGAAATGCCCCCGGGGGAGCCCCTGAACTTGCAGGGCAGCCCGTATGGGGCTTGTTTCCCTGGTCCCTTAACCAGGTGGAATGGGGTTGAAGCAGTCCCCAGAGGAAGAGAGGGGTCTGTGGCTGCCAGCATGTTGGGTGATGCCAAGTCCATGTACCTCATAAATGTTCCCCAAATCCACCTCCTCATGGGCACGGTGGCTAACAGGTAATCCCAGCACTTTGGGAGGCCGTGGCAGGTGGATCATCTGAGGTCAGGAGTTCAAGACCCAGCCTGACCAACATGGTGAAATCCCATCTCCACTAAAAATACAAAAAATTAGCCGGGCATGGTGGCGCTTGCCTGTAATCCCAGTTACACGGGAGGCTGAGGCAGGAGAATCGCTTGAACCTGGGAGACGGAGGTTGCAGTGAGCCGAGATCATGACGCTGCTCCAGCCTGGGTGACAGAGCGAGACTCCATCTCAAAAAAAAAAAAAAAAAACGAAACAAAACCAGAAAACAAATCCACCTCCTCCATCATCCTCATGGCCGCCACTTGGTCCAGCCCCTTGTCATCTCTTCCCTGGACCATGACAGGGTGATCTCCAAAATATTGAATGTCTGTAAGATTTGGCACCAGCCCATCATATCAGATACAAGCTATAAATAAGACTAAACACCCGGACCGCCACCCTCACTCCTGGCCGTGACAGTGGCCTCCCTGCTTCTGATCCTCCCGGGGGGACGTGGGGGCCACTCCCTCCCCCCATCAGAGACTCCCTGGCTCCCCACTGCCTCCTGGAGAAGGTGCCGCCTTGTGGCCTGGCCCCTGGCCCCTGTGCCTGCATCCATTCTCTCTAGCCCATACTCCCAACAGTGAGGACACTCTGGGCTTGCCCTGGCCCCAACTGCACCTGCCCTTTGCCCTCTCCACCAATGTGCAAAGCTCCTTCCATGCCCACCAGAGTCCTTTGCATCCTGCAAGAGCCCCTGAGACATGAATCCTGGCTCTGTGTGGCCCTAGGCCAACTCCTGACCATGCCCAGCTCTCAGTGTGCTGCTCTGTAGAATGGGCCTGGCAATCACCATGCCCTCCTCGTGGTGGGCTGTGAGGATCCAGGCCTACGACGCACACGGGGCAACTGGCACAGTGCCGGCCCATAACAAACTCACAAGGAATGTCCGTCAGTCCCATTATCAACGTCCCTGCTACTCCCTCTGCGAGGCACTCCCAGCCTCTCTGCTTCATGGCTGCCAAGGTGGAGCCACCCTGCTCTGGAGGGCAGAACAGAACTCTATGCCATTCACTTACAGCTCCAGCACTCAGCTCAGTGAGGGCCCCACTCCCAGGGCTCGGGGGGAAGGGGCAGGTACAGCCCACTTGGGGGGTGGCTGGGGTGGTGTTCAGGGTGTTTAGTGCCCCTATGGGACCGATCGGCCTCTGACTCAGTACCCAGAGGGTGAAGGACAGAAGGATGTGCTCCCAGCTCACCTCCGGGTCTGCATGTGGCTTGGCAATGTCACCGACAGCAAGGACCTGCAGCTTCTCTGCCAGGGTGACATGGCGGTGTACGCCGAGACGGTGAGTGGCGAGCGGCAGCCCAAGGCCAGGGCAGGCATGCAGGGGTGGGGGTGGGGTGGCCTGGCAGGGAAGAGATGGCCTCCCTGCAGGGCGTTTGGCGTGATGAGGGAGGGTGAACCTGCAGTAGCCCTGCACTGAAGAGGGAGAAAAAATTCTGACCGAACCTGAGGGCGAAGAGAGAGTCTGATAGAGGAGGCAGAGACTAAAGTAATCTTGGACGCTGCCAGCTCTGGTCTCTTGTTGATCCTCCACACACGTGTGGAGACAAAGGGGGCAACTAAGTGGCCTCCAGGGCCTGATCCCCCTCTCCCTGATGCAGGTTTATTCCGAGCTTTCTCCTAGTTCATCAATAGCACATGAAGTAAGCAAGGCTCTGACTTGCAGGGGCCTCACCCATCACCAACAGGGCAGCCCGGGACCCCTGCAGGCCCCAGCAGGGTCCCAGGAGGTGAAGGCCTAGCACGGCAGAGGAGCAGGATCTGAGGCATCTGCCCACAGAGCCATCAACCCGGGGAGTGGGCGGGCGGCGGCCAGGGACTGCTCTGGAACCAGAGGAGGGGAGACATGGCTGAGGGACGGACATGGTCTGAGGGAGGACATGGCTCAGGAAGTCATGTGAACAGCAGAGGGGAAATAAGGCTTGAGTGTCAGGCTTTTTAACTTACTGAATTAAAACATATGTTTGCAGTGTCTAAGTTGCATGTGTAGATGGATACATTATAATGTGTCTAACCAGCTCTGTAGGTCTTGGAGGTGCAGAGGCAGAAAGGGGTTCAGGGTGAGGGGCAGGGAGCAGGGCCTGTATGCTCAGCAGGCACCAGAGGACTGGGCCGGTGCCTTTGATGGCAGCTGCCTGCTCTCTCGTCACTGCAGACCCTGGGGAGCCCAGCTCTCCTGCACCATTTGACCACCGTTGCTGCCTCTGGGCCTTTTCATCCACACTGTCCCCGCTGAGCACACAGGCCCTGCTCCCTCCCCTTCAACCCAGACCTCTCTGCATGTCTGTGCCTCCAAGCACTACACAGATGTCTTACGACATCTCTGTCCAAACATGCAGCATCCACTCCACTTGGCCAGCTGAGTGACCCCGGGCAGGGTTGACCTCTGAGCCTCAGTGCCCTCACCTGTGCAATGGGGACATGGCCCTTTCTTGCCTGGCTACCACAGCTTTAGGATGCCCCTGCAGCCCAGAGTCAGGGGGTCCAGGGGAGGCCCATGTCCCCGCACTTTGTGCTGGAGGAGGCGGCCGCCCTGACAAGCTTCCCTCCCCTAGTATGAGAATCAGGCCAAGTATAAAGACCAGTGGGGGCAGCAGGGGCTGTATCGCTGCCCCAACTTCTCAGATGTCATGGGGAACAAGACCCTCCCCATGACGGATTTCCAGCCACCCCTGGGATGGCACTGGCAGGACAGCTGGACAGTGGAACCTCAGAGGAGGTAAGGCTGGAGGGGGCAGGCCCCACCACTGGAGGGGACACTTTTCACCTGGGAGGGCCAGTCCACGTCAGCCCAGAAAGATGGGTACCCAGCCCCTAAGCCTGGTGCTAGAGGGCCGAGGTGCACCAGGCCAAGCACCCTGCCCACCACCCGGTCCTGCATGCCAGGCCCTGCTGGCCCTGTCCTGCTCAGAGCAGATGGGGATGCCAGGTATGGGAACGCTTGGCCAGCAGAGGACAGCCCCAGGGGCTGCTCGGGGAGGTGTGCTGGGAACTTGGGGTCTCACTACCCCCAGACTCCTCCTGGACATAGACATCAACAAGAGCCAGGTGCTGGAGGAGGTATATGAGAACCAGGGCCGCGACACCAGAGGCGCCTGGGGGCCTGCCGCCATCCCAAACACAGACGTGGTGAGTAGGGCCGAAGCTGCTTCAGGGGTTGGGGGGCAAGCAAGGCCACCAGGCGGGGCGCCTTGGAAGCTGGGGGTCCCAGTGGAAAGGGTCTGAGTCCTATGCCCTGCACTATGCGTGGGGCCCTGGGTGAGCGCACCAGCCCGCAGGCTCTCTCAGCACTGACGGGGTGAGGGGTTTGTAGAAATACCTTAAATAAGGCTGAGAAACAACAAAAGGGAGCAGTGGTTCCTCCTAGGCTTCCTTCAAAGGTACTGCTGACCCCAAAGGAGAGAATCTGCTTGGGATGGGCTAACCCGGCACTGTCCAGTAGAACTCTCCGTGATGATGGAAATCTTCCATATCTGCACGTGTGGCTACTGAGCGCTTAAAATGGGGCACTCGTGAGACGAAGGAACTAAACTTTGAATTTTAACTCATTTAAGCTAGAGTAGCCCCAGGCGGCTGGTGGTTACTGTATTGGGCAGTGTGGGTTTAACTGATCTCAAAAGCATGCTAGTCTCCCCAGCAGTTTCCAGCGCAGAAAGGCAGGTCCTTGGAGCGTATTCTGATGGCTGTGGTGGCATGAGGTGTGGCAAGCAGTCTGGCCTGGAGTGGGAGGCTGCTGTGGCCACGGCCCGCACGCACACAGGTGTGGGAAGAGGGAGGGAGGGCAGCCTCCTCCCAGCTCATGTGCCCCTTGCTCGCCCTCTCCACCTGCAGAACGGACAGCCCATGGAAGCCCGGGAGAACGTGAAGTGCCCGCAAGGCTGGCACTTTAAGAAGGACTGGGTGGTGGAGCTGAACCACGCAGTGGACAGTAAGGGTCAGTCATTTGGGTTGGGATCGGGAGAGACCAGGGCGGGATCAGAGCAGCCAAGCCCTCAGTGGGACAGGCCTCAATTCCTGCGGCCCCCCAGCCTCCGGAGAGGGGTCTCCAGCGTTTCCCTACGCATGGGCCCCAGTTTTAAGACAGCACAGGCCCTCAGTGTGTCCTGAAGCCTGGCCCAGAGCAAGGCGTGGCAGATGCTGGTGACCAGGAGGCTGTCACGTGGCGGGTGAATTCACCCGCAGCAGCTCCAGGGCTGCAAGTCTCAAGGCCGGGGCTCAAGATGCAAGCTTTGCTGCTTATGGGCTGTGTGGCCTTGCGCGAGTCACAGGACTTCTCTGAGCCTCGCCTGCCTCATTTGTAAGTTGGGCAGCTGGTCCCAGGCCATTCAGGTGACACAGTATAGCCACTGTCCTTTCCACAGCTCAGGGCAAGAGGCCGGGCTGCGAGGGAAGTCATGCCCCTCTAGGGCCTGTCTCCGGGGCCTGTCCGGGCCTCCCAACCCGCGGGCACCTGCGGACTCAGGGCCCTGGTCCCCCCGCCGCAGGCTGGGAGTATGGCGTGGGCATCCCCCCGTCGGGCCTGCCCCAGGTCTGGAGCCCGGTGGAGAAGACCTACCACTCGTGCCGCCGGCGGCGCTGGGCGCGCGTGCGCTTCCGGAACCGCGGGGAGCTGAGCCGCGAGCAGGAGACCGTCTCCTTCCTGCAGCTGGTGAGGCGTCCGCGGGGGCCCTGGCGGGGGCTGCGGGCAGAGCCCCCTTCGCGGCTGCGGGAACACAGCCCTGCGCTCCTCCCCACCGCAGGGCCCGGCCCAGGGCGAGGAGGACGGCTGGGAGTACGACGCCTTCGGCTCCAAGTTCCACCTCCACCCTCAGCCCCGGAGCCGCTTCCGCCGCCGCTGCTGGCGCCGCAGGCTGGTGCCCGACAAGGACAAGGGCATCGCGCCCGTCTTCCTCCTGGAGGGCTCCTTGGTAAAGCCTCGCAGGCTGGGGGCGCCTGCCTGCAACCTCCCGCCCGGAGAGGCCAGGGCCTGGCCCGGCTGGGGCGCTGATGGCGGAGGAAGGGCCTCTGCGCCTCAGGCTGGCGAGGGTGGCAGCGTGCGGGAGGAGGGTGGCAGCGTGCGGGAGGAGGGCGACCGGGCCTGGGCTAGAGGACACAGGAGCAGCACCCGAGGGCCTCAGGGGAGACTGTCCTGGCTGCAGGCCATGGATCTGAAACACCGAGCTGGGAAGGAAGAGGAGAGCAAGCCATGGCCGTGGGGTCTGGACAGACAGTTCAGGGACCCCCAGAGGCAGGACGCCCGGCCCCCCAACATGCCCTTCATCTACTGCACCTTTAACAGTAAGTGCTGGCTCAGGAGGCTGCTTGAATGGCCCCAGAGGCCAGTGCCAAGGGCAGAGGGTGGGGAAGCGGTGGGGGCAGCCAGAGGGAGCCGCTGGGGTCCTGGGGAGGTGACAGGCATGGCTCCTCTTTCCCCAGAGCCCCACTACTACCAGCTCTTCTGCTACATCTACCAGGCCCGGAACCTGGTGTCCAATCAGATCCTGACATTCCAAGGTAGGTGGTAGGCAGCCTTGTCCCCAGCTGAGGACGAGGCCTCAGGGAGGAGAGCAGGGTCCTCTTCCTGCTTGCAGTCCCAGCCAGGGCCCCTGCCCGCTGGGCCCTCACCAGCTGCGAGCCTTGTCCCTGGGTCCTGGTGTTACAGCTGCTCAGCAGTGTAAAGACAGAGGCATGGATGAGGGTGACGGAGATGCAGACCCGTCTCCCAATCAGCTCATGGTGCTGGTTTGGGGAAAAGACACAAAACCAAGACTTCGAGGCAGGGCTGCTCTTGAGGCACGACCCCAGTGCTGTGGAATTAGAAGCGGGAGCTGAGGGGGCTCCATCCCAGTGGTGGGCACTTAGCTGGGCATGGAAGAGGAGCTGCCTGGCAGTGCTGGTGGGGCATGAGGGCAAGAGAGAGGGCAGTATGCTTGGGAACCATGTGCCACTCTGTTTGGACAGTAGGGGCCGAGAGGGCCTGTGGGGAGGGCCTGTCCTCGGTCCTGTGAGGATGCCCCAGTGAGAGTTTCAGGAGACAAGCCACGTGCTCCAGCCTGGTCCTCAGTGCGGTTTGTAGGGAGCGGGGACAGTAGGTGGCAGGGCTCCAAGGATGTCTGCTGGGAGTTGTATCCCTCGGGCTTCACCACCCACATCGAGAGGCCCCTGTGGTGCTCCCTGATGCCAGGCCACTTGCCGCTGCCATGAAAGAGCAGCCACAGAGCCGGGCGCGGTGGCTCACACCTGTAATCCCCGCGCTTCGGGAGGCCGAGGTGGGCAGATCACAAGGTCAGGAGTTCAAGACCAGCCTGGCCAACATGGTGAAACCTCGTCTCTACTAAAAATACAAAAATTAGCCAGGCATGGTGGCAGGCGCCTGTAATCCCAGCTACTTGGGAGGCTGAGGCAGGAGAATCACTTGAACCCGGGAGGCAGAGGTTGCAGTGAGCCGAGATTGTGCCACTTCACTCCAGCCTGGGTGACAGAGTGAAACTCTGACCAGAAAAAAAAAAAAGGATTAAAAAAAGAAAGAAAGAAAGAAAGGGCAGCCACAAGTGACCTCCTCCCCAGAACTCCTCCAGAGGAGCCCCTGCCCTCCATCTCTGTGAGGCCCAGGCCTCAACCCAGGGAGGCACACAGAACTCATGGATGGGACCAGATGATGCCTGGCCTCTGGTGACAGGCCCCGGTGCTGACTCTGACTCTGAGGGGGCCCTGGGAGGCCTCAGTGGCTGCCCTGCCTGACCCTCCTGGGCCGCACCGGATCCAGCGGCTGCAGCAGCAGAAGAGAGGAAAGCCCCTCTTCCCAGCTCAAGACACTGCTCCCTCGTCCTCCACCCCTCCAGGGCCCTTCATTCGGGTGGTCTTCCTGAACCACAGCCAGTGCACCCAAACCCTGAGGAGCTCTGCAGGCCCCACGTGGGCCCAGACACTCATCTTCCAGCACCTCCTTCTGTACGAGAACCCGCAGGACACCAAAGAGAGCCCGCCGCTCGTGGTGCTAGAGCTGTGGCAGCGTGACTCCTGGGTAAGGTGGGCTGGGCAGAGCAGGAGGAAGAGGACCTACCTTGCAGAGTGGCTGAGGGGATTTATTTTAGAGGAAAATGTATGGAAATTTCTCCCATGCGGCCTGACGTGCAGAGAGCACCGTGGAAATTCGTCTGCCAGCTGTCGCCCTTGCCTTGAGAAGCCCGGGCAGAGCTGGGCCCTGCCAGCGTGGTCTCCATGTTTTGTGAACTTCCCCCCTCCAGGGCAAGGAGAGCTTGTGGGGACGGAGCATGTGGCCCCCAGTGGTCTGGCTGGATCTCCAGGACCGGATCCTGCCCCCCATGAGGTGGCACCCCCTTGTGAAGGAGCTGGGGAAGGAAGAGGGCGAGATCTTGGCATCCTGTGAGCTGATCCTTCAGACTGAGGTATTGAGAGGGCCTGGCTGGGAAGTGTGGCGCTCATTGCCGGTCCCCGTCCCATCCCCAGCCAGCGGGGGCCAACTCCACCCTGTCAGGAAACGCCTGGGGCCCAGGATCCAGAGCTGTGGGCTTGGTGACGCTGGCCTGCCCAGCCTCTCCCCCAAGTCCCGCTGCCAGCCCCTACCCATGGGGCTCTGGGCCCGGTGAGGCCTCTGAGGGACTTGCTTGAGGTGGGGGTGAGGGCAGTAGGACCAGCCCAGAGGGCCTCATGCTCCCTGCCCTCCCCCAGAAGCTTGGCGAGAAGCAGCTGCCTATCTTAAGCGTTCCCTGGAAGAATGGGGCATACACACTCCCCAAGAGCATCCAGCCCACGATAAAGAGGATGGCCATTGAGGTGCTGGCGACGCGGGATGGGGATGGTGGGCAGGGCAGGCGGGGGTGGTCTGCAGTGCGCTGCAGCTTTCTGACTACCGGATCCAAAGCTCGCACCCTGAGAAAGACTAGCTGGGAGGTGGAGGGAGACAGGAGAGAAATGAAGAGGTTCTGGTGCAACACTGGAAATCATTTTACCGCAAACCTCTGCAGTGGGGAGTGGGCACAGGGCTGTAGCGTGCGTGATCACATTTCGGACTCACGCTGCCCCTGCGCAGTAGCAACTACTTTGCAGAGAAGGAAATAGAGGCTCCAAGAGACAACACATTCCATGCACAGTGACGCAGGGACTACGTGACAGCAAATGCTGTCTGACTGCAAATGCCAGGATGCTGCTCGCCTCACCTCTGAGAGTAGCGTGGGGGTCCTCCTTCAGAACGCGTGTGCCCTGCCGCAAACGTGGCAAAGAGCACAAGATGGTCAGGCCTCTGGGACTGACGGCTTCCCCGAGATCAGGCAACTTGGCTGGTTCCCACTTTGGGCCCTGAGGAGGCCCTCATGAGTCAGGGTGCAGCTATTTCCTGGCAGGGTGCCAGGTCACCAAATGGCCACGGGGTCCTCAGTGAGCTAGACGGCATAGGGGCCCTGAGAAATTCAGGCACTTCCTGCTTCTTCGGGCCTCAGAGGCAGTCGGCCTCAGGAACTTACAACTGAGAACTGATGAGGCCAGACAAGGCAGCGGTGAGGAGGGGCAATGCCTGCGGGCTATGGAGGTCAGTGGAGGATGCAGCCAGTGGCCGAAGGGCACCTCCGTCATAGGTCGGGGGACAGTGTCCCAGCCCCAGGACACGCACTGATCCCTCACAGGACGGGGAAGCCTGTCCTTGTGCGCCTTCGGACACTGGCTCCTCTGCAGCCCTATTCCCTGGCCCTGCGGCTCCTGCTGCCCCGCGATTGCCCCTCAGCCCCCTTCTCTGGCCAGGACCCCATTACAGAGGCGCTGCCTGCCCCTTGTCCTGCCCTCCTTCTTGGTTCTGGTAGATCCTGGCCTGGGGCCTTCGGAACATGAAGAAGGCGAGCTCCCCCCAGCTCCTGGTGGAATTCGGGGACGAGTCCCTGAGGACAGAACCCATCAGAGACTTTCAGACCAACCCCAACTTCCCCGAGTCCGAGTCTGTCCTAGTCCTCCTAGTGGTAAGAGGCCCTAGGGCAGGGGCTGGGCAGCTCTCTTCTTCTGTGGGTCTCACACTCCCCACATTTCCTCGGGGCTGCAGCTCATGCCCACAGAGGAGGCCTATGCGCTGCCCCTTGTGGTGAAGGTGGTGGACAACTGGGCCTTCGGTCAGCAGACCGTGACGGGCCAGGCCAACATCGACTTCCTCCAGCCCTACTTCTGTGACCCCTGGGCTCAGGACTACGTGCACCCAAAGCTTCCAAGTACGGCCCTTCCTCCGTGCCCTTCCCCAGGCCTCACAAGCGAGCCCGCACTGGGAGTGGGGTAGGCCCTGCTTCCCCGACGGGTTGGCGCTTCCTCCTCAGCCCTCTCCCCATCCTGAGACTCGTCCCTGTGCTCTCTCCGCACAGGGCTGTCTGGGAAGAAGCACCAGGACGTAAGTAAGGGCTGCAGGCCCACCTTCTCCCACACTGCTGACGGGGCGTAACCCTTGGGCCTAAGGAAGGGTGTTCATTAAACAGAGTCCAGATACCCGTGCCCAGCTGTGAGGCCCACCTCGCACTGTAGGGTCCTCAGCCTGGAGGGTCTCTGTAGGTCTCTCAGCCTGACTGCACATTAGAATCACCTAAGAGTTTTTTTTTTTTTTAACTTTTGAATCCTTTTTTGTTGTTGCTGTTGTTGTTGTTGTTGTTGAGAGAGTTTTGCTCTTGTTGCCCAGGCCGGAGTGCAGTGGTGCCATCTCAGCTCACTGCAACCTCTGCCTCCCGGGTTCAAGCAGTTCTCCTGCCTCAGCCTCCTGAGCAGCTGGGATTACAGGCACACGCCACCATGCCTGGCTAATTTTTTGTATTTTTAGTAGATACAGGGTTTCATTATGTTGGCCAGGCTGGTCTTGAACTCCTGACCTCAGGTGATCCATCTGCCCTGGCCTCCCAAAGTACAGCAATTACAGGCATGAGCCACCACGCTTGGCCTTAAATCTTTAAAAAATTTTTTTTGGCTGGGTGCAGTGGCTCACACCTGTAATCCCAGCACTTTGGGAGGCTGAGGCAGGCGGATTACTTAAGGTCACCGAGTTCAAGACTGGCCTGGCAACACGGTGAAACCCCATCTCTACTAAAAAATACAAAAAAAAAAAAAATGAGCCTGGCATGCTGGTGCGTACCTGTAATTCCAGCTACTCGGGAGGCTGAGGCACAAGAATCGCTTGAACCCTGGAGGTGGAGGTTGCAGTGAACCAAGATCCCACCGCTGCACTCCAGCCTGGGCCACAGAGTGAGACTCCATCTCCCACTTAAAAAAAAGAAATGGGTCGGGCGCGGTGGCTCACGCCTGTAATCCCAGCACTTTGGGAGGCCAAGGTGGATGGATCACGAGGTCAGGAGATCCAGACCATCCTGGCTAACATGGTGAAACCCCATCTCTATTAAAAATACAAAAAATTGGCCGGGCGCAGTGGCTCAAGCCTGTAATCCCAGCACTTTGGGAGGCCGAGACGGGCGGATCGCGAGATCAGGAGATCGAGACCATCCTGGCTAACACGGTGAAACCCCGTCTCTACTAAAAAATACAAAAACTATCCGGGCGACATGGCGGGCGCCTGTAGTCCCAGCTACTCGGGAGGCTGAGGCAGGAGAATGGCGTAAACCTGGGAGGCGGAGCTTGCAGTGAGCTGAGATCCGGCCACTGCACTCCAGCCTGGGGGACGGAGCAAGACTCCATCTCAAAAAAAAAAAAAAAAAAATACAAAAAATTAGCCAGGCATGATGGCGGGCACCTGTAGTCCCAGCTACTCGGGAAGCTGAGGCAGGAGAATGGCGTGAACCCAGGAGGCGGAGCTTGCAATGAGCTGAGATCTGGTCACTGCACTCCAGCCCGGGCTACACAGCGAGACTCCGTCTCAAAAAAAAAAAAACCATTACAGAGACAGGTATCTTGCTATGTTGCCCAGGCTGGTCTTGAACTCCTTAGCTCAAGCGATCCTCCCACCTTGGCCTCCCAAAGTGCTGGTGTTACACAGCCTTACCTGAGAGTTTTAAAACTCCGGAGGCCTAGGCCGCTGATCTATCAGAATCGCTGAGGTAGGACCCAGGCATCAAAATTTTTTCCAACCCCTTCCACACAGGTGATTCCAATGTGCTTTCAGGGTTCCCCACTATTGCTCTAAAGTGGTACTTGTCAAACTTGAACGTGCAGGAATCCTCCAGACATTGTCACCAAAAGCAGACTCTCAGTAGGTCAGGGTGGGGCTTGAGGTTCTGCATTTCTGAGCGCCTTCCAGAATCTAGTCTGCAGCTGTGGGCAATGAGGACAAAGAACTACGTGTCCCCTTCTTGCTCCCTAGATCCCATTTCTAAAGACCCCTGAATTAAAAGGTCTATGTGAAAGGCAAGGGCAAGGGTGCCAGGGAAACCCTGGCCTCGACCCCCTCTCTCCTCCCTGAAGTCAGAGCCCGTGAGCGAGCGATAGCTTTCCCTTGCTCACCCTCTCCTTTTTCAGTTCCTAGGCTACCTCTCCAGAAAGTTCTGGTTCAAGTCCAGTAAAGCAGAGGTGATCAAGGCTCAGCCCCAGGGAACGAGGAGCAGCCCCGTTCAGTGCAGGGAGGTCGGGGGCTGCCCCCGCCCAAGGCCAGAACGATCCTCTTCTCCACCAGGATGAGTATGAGCATGAGGTGGACTGGTGGAGCAAGCTGTTCTGGGCCACAGATGAGCACAAGTCCCTGAAGTACAAGTACAAAGACTACCACACCCTCAAGGTTTGAAGGAGGGAAGAAAGGGGGATGGAATCAAATCGCCCACTGCAGGAGGGCAGCAGAGCTATAGCCTCGATTCCTCTGGGAAGCCTCCAGTCGGGGGGGTTCCCGCACTGTCTCCCAGAGACAGCTCCAGCTGCCACCCTGTCTGAAGCACACAGTGCTGGCCCCAGGGCCACTGCCTGCCAGATGCTTTGGAGCGAGGCCTGGGAGCTGGTGGTCCCTCCATCTCCTGATCTCGGGAACAGTCCCTGCCAGCCAGGGTTCCACACACCCCTGCAGGTGTATGACTGTGAGCTGGAGGCCGTGCCAGCCTTCCAGGGCCTGCAGGACTTCTGCCAGACCTTCAAGCTCTACCAGGAGCAGCCCAAGTTGGACAGCCCTGTGGTAGGGGAGTTCAAGGTGTGTGTCCACCCCAGCTTAGCTGCCCCCGTCTCCTTGTGCCCCTTGTGTCCCTGGAAGACAAATAAAAGCCCCGGCTCTATATGCTTATCGTGAAGATGGAGCAGGGCTTGAGAAAGTTCTGGGAGTGGAGGAGATTCGCCCCCACAGGGACTCAGAGAGCGCTCCCCTTCCCCTCCCCACTCTGGCCTATGCTGGCCTCCCAAGGCCGCAAAGCTACAGGGAACAAGCCCGAACCTGAAGGGATAGATGGGGTGGAGTGAGTCCACAGCAGCACAGACAGGGAACTCACCTGCTGACTGCGGGTCCTTTGCCGACACCCTGATTCAACATAGTGGGCCCTGCTGAACACCGTGCTGTACCTGCCTCCACTGTCCTCATGGCCTTCTGTTCCTGCTACCCTCAGCCCAAGCCTCTCTCTCCTGAACACGGGCTGGGGCGCCTCCCGGAGGGCTTTACAGCGCTGGCCAGCACTGCCAGGCAGGGACCCCAACACCCCTCCCCCGCCAGGGCCTCTTCCGTGTCTACCCCTTTCCTGAGAATCCAGACGCCCCGAAGCCCCCACTCCAGTTCTTGGCTTGGCCAGAGAGAGAGGACTTCCCCCAGCCATGCCTGGTGCGGGTGTACGTGGTACGAGCCATCAACCTGCAGCCCCAGGACTACAATGGCCTGGTAAAGAACAGTACCTGCCCCGCACAGGTGCCCCACACGCTCCCCTCACCCCGTCTCTGGGAGCCCCTTCAACTACCGACACACACAACGCCAGCGCCCCACGGGCTCCACGAGCCCCTCCAACTACCGACACATACAACGCCAGCGCCCCACAGGCGCCATGTGGTGCAAGGGGCTTGTTTCCACCCCCTCCCACCCTTCCTGACACACCTGGACACCCTCCCCAGTTCCGATCCCTCCCCCACTTGTATCTGACCCCAGTGTGACCCTTATGTGATCCTGAAACTGGGCAAGACAGAGCTTGGCAGCCGGGACATGTACCAGCCCAACACTCTGGATCCCATCTTCGGCACGTGAGCTGCCCCAACCCCCAAGACCCCTTCTCCACTCTCACCCCCTCCACACCGGAAGTCGGCCGGAGAAGGCACAGAACGCTGGCACTCCTGGCCAGCCTCCACGTTCCTACCACAGCGTCTTACATGCCCTGGTGCTCAACAGATAGAAGACAAATGCATGGGTGGGCCGGTTCTACCGTTCCACACTCTGGCTGGGAGGGGAGCTGAGTTCCCCACACCAGGCCTATCCAAAGTCATTTTCAACCATAACCAGGGGATGGCGATTGGCAGAAGGCAGCCTACCCCATGCTCTGCTCTCCACAATCTCCATGAACAAACAAGGGGCCTGCGGGGCCAAGATCCCGGTGAGGGAGGGGGGCACAGAGACACTGCCCACATCCTCTGCAGTCTTCAACACCTCGCCCCTAGGATGTTTGAACTCACCTGCAACATCCCCCTGGAGAAGGACCTAGAGATCCAGCTCTATGACTTCGACCTATTTTCACCTGATGATAAGATAGGAACCACAGTCATCGACCTTGAAAACCGACTCCTGTCTGGCTTTGGAGCTCACTGTGGGCTCTCCAAATCCTACTGCCAGTGAGAGTGGGCCTGTCCAGGGGAAGGGAGTCAGGTGGGGTGGAAGAGTGAGCCACAGCTCCCTTGGGAGAAGCCTGCATCCTGGGCAGGAAACAGGGCCCAGACCTGCCCAGTCTCCACCCAAGCTTCCACCATGGCCAACCTGCAGCTCACAACTTCAGGTGTTCTTCAGGACCCGGACCTCCAGGCCTCTTCCTCTCACATCCCCACAGGTCAGGACCCTTTAGATGGCGGGATCAGATGCCCCCAAGCTACCTCCTAGAACGCTATGCCAAGCGCAAAGGGCTGCCTCCGCCTCTGTTCAGTCCTGAGGAAGATGCTGTTTTCTATAACGGGAAAAAATTCAAGCTGCAAAGCTTTGGTGAGCAGCGCAGAACACTAGCAGAAAGCACAGACACAGGCCTCTGGAAGCTGTGAGGCTCCAGAATGGAAGAGCTACAGACTCGGGGGAGAAAGGGGAGGACAAGGAAAGAGCTCCCTCGAGCCAGAGGCCAGCCCACCCCTCCCCTCACTCCTACCCAGGCTGCGGTGGGGAGGGTGATAGGAAGGCTAATGACCTCACAACCCCCTCCTTCCATCCCTCTCCAATCCAGAACCCAAAACCCCTACTGTTCATGGTTTGGGGCCCAAGAAGGAACGCCTTGCACTCCACCTCCTGCACACCCAGGGGCTGGTGCCTGAGCACGTGGAGACCCGCACACTGTACAGTGACAGCCAGCCAGGCATCGACCAGGTATGAGACTGGAGGGGCCACTCCTGGCTCCTATGGGAGGAGCTAGATCAGGAGACAGAGATACCCGTCCACCCAGGACGTAGCCCACGAGAGGGGAAGGGCAGGCCAAACATTCGGTAATGTACATGCACGGAAGACAAGCATGCTGTGCACGTTAATAAGCAAGAAGTTCTGGTGATGTCACTTAGAATGGAGAATTTCAGAGCTGGAAAGGTCATCTACAAGAAACAGAGGCCATGCACCAGCTGTGGGAGGCACTAGGGAGCCAGTCAACGTCTCCGTTGCCTTAAGTCTCTCTCGAGGGGTGGGAAGGTGGTGCTCAGGTCAGACAGTGCAGACGTGACAACGCTGGTTCTGGCTGTTAATTGCAGGCTGTGTCTTCTCCACAGCAAAGAACCCCAAACAGAGAAATACAAATCCCCAAAGGCACCTAATCATCATTCACTCTGCAGCCACCAGAATGGCTCATCTCATTCTCTAAACTTCTCAAGCTCTACCACATTCCAGACAGAAAGTCCTCTCTGAGCAAAATGTTTAAAAAACCATTCTCTGGCCAGGTGCGGTGGCTCAGGCCTGTAATCCCAGCCTGTAGGAGGCCGAGGCGCAGATCTCTTGAGGCCAGGAGTTTGAGACCAGCCTGTCCAACATGTCAAAACCTCTTTACTAAAAATATAAAAATTAGTTGGGCATGGTGGCAGGTGCCTGTAATCCCAGCTACTCAGGAGGCTGAGGCATGAGAATTGCTTGAGCCTAAGAGGCAGAGGCTGCAGCGAGCTGAGATTGTGCCACTGTGCTACAGCCTGGGTGACAGAGAGAAACTGTCTCAAAAAACATATAAAATAAAAAACCATTCTCGTTAAACCTGTTTTCTCAAATGAGTCAGTTCAAAATAATATAATTAGGTCAGGTAGTCTGAAAGGCAGAACGTATTTGTGTTTTCAATGTTGGCAGTTCTGTCCTTTTTCTTTCCTTTTCTCCCCTTTTTCATCCCTTACCTTCTTTCCTCTGTATGTGTGGCTAGCTTAATACCCTTAGGTTGTAGTTCATAACACAAAATGACCTGAAAGTCTGGACTGGTATCTAGTTTCCTCATACTTGAGGCTATCAAGCAACACCAAGCTGCTTGATAAATGAAGCCCCAACCCCGATCTGGAGCCCAGTCCAGACAGGCCATCTAGCATGACCTAGGGAGTGGCATTCCCTCTCCAGACCTGTTGTAAGTGGAATCCCAGCACCATGCCGTCAGCCCCAGAGTTACCGTGTTCCAATCTCACTGCGCTGCTCTCAGTCGAAAGAAAGGGGGAAGCTGGTGGGTGGTTGCCTGCGGCCTCACAGGTATCTCTGTGCCCTACCCCTTGGTGTTGGGAACACAACCTCAACAGACCTCAGAAGCTGGGACAGGGAACCCCAGGCCAGCCTGCTGAGAACAGAGGCTAGCAACCCCCAACCAGCCAATGTATCCTGGCCCTAGGGAAAGGTGCAAATGTGGGTGGACATCTTCCCCAAGAAGCTGGGGCCTCCTGGCCCCCCAGTCGACATCAACCCCAGAAAGCCTAAACGGTGAGTGACAGCCCACTTCCCAACTGCTGCATTTCACAGTTCAGCCTCCCCCAGTGCAGGGCACCACTCTCCTCAGGCACTGAGCTGCAGTCATTTGTTTCTCTGCCGGGAAGGGAGGAAGCTCTCCTGGGAGCTTTCTTGCCCTGAATTCCCCACACTGAGCAAGAGCACACAGGGCGGCCTCGCAGGCCTCTCCGCCCTCACCGAGGCTGTGGCTGGGGAGCTCCTCCTTGGCAAAGCCTCAGAGCACAGTGGCCACAGGTATGAGCTGCGCTGCGTCATCTGGAAAACCGCCAATGTGGATCTGGTGGATGACAATTTAAGTAGAGAGAAGACGAGCGACATCTACATCAAAGGGTAAGGAAGAGGAGTCAGGCTCCGGCGAGCCCCTCAGTTCCCCAGTTCTGTCATCCTGCTGACACGGCCCAGTCCTGAGTGGGACACCTCTCCACTTCCGGCCGGGCCTGGTGTCGGCTGGGCAGCCCTTCCCATGGGCTGCAGCGGGGGATGGGGACAGTGCACCTGAGCCGCAGGTGACAGGACTCCGGCGCCAGGTGGCTGTATGGGCTGGAGAAGGACATGCAGAAGACAGACATCCACTACCACTCGCTGACTGGGGAGGCGAACTTCAACTGGCGGTTCATCTTTACCATGGACTACCTGGCGGCGGAGCGCGTGTGTGTCCAGAGCCAGAAGGTAACAGGCTGGGGCCTGGGGGCATGGGGGGGCGAAAGGCCACACACGAACAGACTCAGGCTCCTGGAGCTCCTCCCCTCACCCCTCCAGAGGCTCACAATCTGTCCCAGAACATCAGAAACATGTCCTCAGGTGGAAACCCTCTCCCTTGAGAGTCTGTCACTGCTGGGTGGAGGGCCACTGAGGGGTGCAAGGGAAACGTCCAGGAGACAGGCCGGTAACACGCTCTTCCGCCATTGCCCCAGGATTACATATGGAGCCTGGATGCCACGTCCATGAAGTTCCCAGCCCGACTTATCATCCAGGTCTGGGACAACGACATCTTCTCCCCCGACGACTTCCTAGGTGAGGTCCTGACACAGGGCTTGTGACCACAGGACAGAGAGCTCCTTCTTGCTGATGTCATTTTTCTGGGCTCAGGGGTCCTGGAGTTGGATTTGTCTGACATGCCCCTCCCGGCTCGGCACGCCCAGCAGTGCTCCATCAGGATGATGGACGCTGACCCCAAGTGGCCCTATTTCCTCCAATACAAGCACTTCTCCCTCTTTAAGAAGAAGACTGTGACTGGCTGGTGGCCTTGCCAGGTCCTCGATGGTGGCAAATGGCGCTTGTCGGTAGGAGCTGGGGAAAGTGTCTACTGGTTAGGACTGCTGTGCTGCATGTCCTGGCTCTAACAGACATCTAGGGACCTAGCTAAATCCCTTTTCCTTTCTTGGTCCCGGGAAGAGGCCCAAAAACTACCCGGCTCTGCTGTCTGAACTCAGCCTCCCCCTCACCATGGTGTTCCTAGGGCAAGGTGAAGATGAGCCTGGAGATTCTGTCAGAGAAGGAAGCCTTAATCAAGCCAGCCGGGCGAGGCCAGTCAGAGCCCAACCAGTACCCTACACTTCACCCTCCCCTGTAAGGGTCCTTGGGGCAAACGCACCAGATCCGTCTTGCTCCTCCGTGTGTGTGGGGTGGTGACCAGTGGGCCTACCGTGGAGAGGTGGTAACTACCTCCCACCCCCCAGCTCTGTGCTCAGACATTCAGCAAAGAACAGACTTGGGGTGAGAGTTGGGGTAAGCAGAAGTTGGGTTTTTTTTTTTTTTTTTGAGATAATTGTCTCACTCTGTCACCCAGGCTGGAGTGTGGTGGCACAGTCTCAGCTCGCCGCAATCTCTGCCTCCTGGGTTCAAGTGATTCTCCTGCCTCAGCCTCCCGAGTAGCTGGGATTACAGGCACCCGCCACCATGCCCAGCTAATTTTTGTATTTTTAGTAGACGGGGTTTCACCATGTTAGCCAGGCTGGTCTCAAACTCCTGACCTCAGGTGATCCACTCACCTTGGCCTCCCAAACTGTTGGGATTACAGGCGTGAGCCACTGCGCCTAGCCCAGAAGTTGCTTTTTTAAAAAGAAAGCTCTTTGCATCAGATTGCTTGACCTGAAGGTTCTCTGCCATTCTCTGCCATTTCCCTGGCTCCTGGACAGACGCCCCTACACCTCTTTCATGTGGTTGCGGTCACCAGTTCAACACTTCTGCTCTGTTTTCTGGAAACGCTATCGCTTCAAACTCATAGCCTTTATGGTCATATCGATTCTAGCACTTTTGCTGTTCAACTTTATCTATTCAGCTCCGGTGAGTGGCAGCCCTGCAGGCAAGGACAGAGGTGGTCTCAGGATGACTCGGGGGAGAGCGTCTTCAGCTCGCCACCCCAGGCTAACTGTTGTCTGTTCTCTCTAGCACTATTTGGCCATGAGCTGGATCAAACCTCAACTTCAGCTATATCCTCCCATTAAAATATTCAATATCATCACTTCACTAAACACCAGCAATGCCAGCTCTTCCATCCTTCCCACCCGGGATCCAAACCTAAAGCCTACAATAGACCATGAGTGGAAACTCCACCCAGGACCTACCAATCACCTGAGTAACATTTTCCCAGAACTTCCAGCCCCAGAAGACTAATGAGCCCACGCTGCCTGGCTTTCCTCCTCTACCAACAGCCCTCCCCTTGGGCCGCCTACCAGTTCTTTGTTTCTGTTTTCTAGGATAGATGCAAGGTGCTAGGAATATTCTGGCTATTGTGTTCAGAAATCACTTCCAACAAGAAGAGCAGAGCTATAATTTTCCACTGAAATAAACAAGTTCTGTAACAGAGAGCCATCTTGTAATTTGGGGGTGCTGAAGACAACATGAAAGGCTGAACATGCCAGCCCTTCAGACAAGACTCACAGGGACAGGGAGTGACGTCATCTTTATGTCGCACCCTAGTCCACAGGGTCTCTCATACTAAGAGGCTTGGAATTGGGGCCTCTTAGTGTGGAGGGAAAGAGTGATTGTGAGAAGTGGCCCTTATGGGTAAGCAGCAAGCCGAGGCACCGGCTCGCACCCACAGCATGTACAGAACAGCCCTACCACGGACCAGGCAGCTCCCTCCTCTAGCACACGGCTAGGATGACACTGCCCAGGACAACATTCTGCCCATTCATGATGGGAAACATCTGTTTCTAGAACAAAAAGCAAGAGCCAAAGCAGGACATCCTATGCCAAGTCAGGTGGTTTTCCTGTACTATACATTTCTCTAAAGGCCCCCAAGGCAGGTGGGGACTGCATTTCATGTCTTTCCTGACCTCTTTAAGAAGCCTTAAGGTACTCATGAGCTGGAATCATACAAACCCCACAGGCGCCATCTTTCTCACTCCACCCCTCCCCTCTGATGAGACCCCTTCCACCTGCACTGCTGCCTTGGCCATATCAAGAGCCTACCTAGGTCCTCCCATGGGTCCATACAATCTCCCCTTCAACTCAAAAAAGACAAAACCACCATTTTCTTTTGCAGTTCTCCCTGTTCCAAGGCCAAGCTCTAGGTCACAGTTTGTCCTCTGGCACCCTGGAGCCATTCTGCTATTGTGGAGGGGAGTTGGTAGGAGGATGCCTCGTCTCTACCTCACCTGAATCCCACCTGCAGGAGAGCACTCCCGCCTGTGCTGCTTAACTAAGTGCATGGGAAGGAAAGAGCCTGAAGAGACAGAGACCTATGCCTAGCCAAGGTGACCCCCTTTCCTTCTGAGCTGAGCTGAGGGCTTTTCCAACCCAGGAGAAGGCAAAACAATGGTTGATGGGCTTGAAGCTCAGAAAAAAGGCCTGCTCAGAATAAAGGCCTGACCTTTCCCCAGACCCACTCCTAGAAGAAAGAACATAGTCAGAAGCTCATGTTTGGTTCCATCGGCGATTTTAAGAATTTCACTTAGGCTACAGAGGTTCATAGGAGGACTCAGAGTTCCAGGCCCTCCAAGGAGACTCTGGCCTGTAACTGATGTAATCCCAGGGCAGTAAGGTGAGCAGCATGTGGCCCCTTGTCAGATAAGGCAGTGGAATACGGGCTGACACGCAGAGGACAGCGCTCAGGCTGTGCTGCTCAGTGACAATGAGCTCTTCCAGGCACAGATGATGAGGGTCTCTTGCTCTCAGACTTAGAACATGGGAACAGCAAGTGTTTCTTGTCCATTAAGAAAAAAAAAAAGCCAAATTTCTTCTCTGGGCAGTATCCAAGCCCAAGATATAAGAAGAAAGCTTCCTTACACTTTCAACACTCAAAGTGGGATTCCAAAAATCGTAACTACAAAACATGCAGCTAGGCAGGCTCTAGCAAGTCCAGAAATATCTCCACATGGTCAGACCACATGACAAATATTGCTTTTGGTATCAAACCTGGAGTTGGTCAGTTTCACAGTTAATCCACGGCATCTATGATGTCTTCCAGGCTTCTCTGGATTTTTACACCAACTTTTAGCCAAACTTGACTGAGGGCCTGAAGAGACTTGATGGGGAAGTCGACAGACCCAGGGCCCGTGCTAGAGAACAGGAGCTGGAACAGGGATCCAAAGCAGAAAGCCTTCTCCCTAGGGCCGCTAATGAAGCCCGGGAAATGCAGGTGCGTTCTGCAGCCCCAGGCCCCAACAGAGAGGCATCCAAATGCCTTCGCGGCTCAGGCAGCACAGAGAGAGGACAATGAATGCAGTGAAAGGAAGGTGAGGCAGGGAAGAAGTTTCCATCCTGGTTTCCAAAGAAAGCTCCTCAGGTAGGCAGAGGGTTGGGTGAAATGCAAAACCCAATGAATGGATGGTCAGAAAGTATGTAGTGTTACCAGTTTTTAACTCTTTGTGGATTCAAAAATGAAGTAGAAGGGCCCTCTGAGTCAAATAACAAGGCAGCCTGGGCTACGAAATTCCGTTCTGTGATTTTTGGCATCACAACCGCGCACATTCTCTTCACGCCTCTGCTCCCCCGTGGAAGGACTGCAGGGAAAGGCACATCACAGCAGCATTGCCTGGGGTGGGTGCTTCCCAGACCAGAGTTAGATGTCCCCATGCACAACCATGGGAATGCGGGGTCCCTGCATTCAAAACTCCAGTGACAGAATATAGTCCCTAACCAGCTGCTCGAGACGAGAAGGCCCTCCAGGCTGCACGCTCAGGCCAGTGTCTGCTCCCTCCATACCTCACGGGCGACAGTCACAGAAGTGGTGGCAGGAGGGCTCAGTAGAAGCGCTTTCGGCTCTGTTCCTGCCATTTGTTGTAGAGTATGATACCAATGACTATGGCAAATACAGAAAACACCAGGGAGAAAAAGACGATGAGGAAGAGGGCCAGGCCACTCAGGGGCGGCAGTGGAGCTGTCACTAAGGAAGCAAGAGAGAAGCAAGTCAGAAAACAGGGAGCCCACCCAGTAGGGAAGGATCAAACTACAGGCTGTCAGGCCCCCAATTTCTGACATCTGTTTCTGGGAAGCCTGAGCTTAGACCCCCTCTTTCCAACTGAGAAACAAAGCGGCCCTCCAGCTGCTCATCTGTAACTTGAAGGGGAAAAGCAGATGCACGTGCTCCTGCCCCTCAGAGGAATAACACAGAGCAGAGACCACCCTGTGAGCTACGGGTGCAAGTCCCCTCTGAAGCTGTGCAGCACTGCAAGCTCCTCCCCAGCTATGGGCCATTTCCTGGGGGCCCCTGTGCTCACTCTCAGGCAGCTTCATATTGTCCACGGAGGGCAAGAACACATCTCGATGCAGCTTTTCCTCTTCTGGGGTTCTCTCTACCGTCAGCTCAAACAGCTTCAGGGAAATGACATCATGATTATCTGAAGAAAAATGGAAGAAGGATGACTTGAGCCACTTGAAAAAGAGGTATGTTTCTTGAAGTCAGTATCTTAGTTCAAGCCTCTGATCCACAGCTAACCAGCAGTGACCTTAAAAAAATAATTGAAACCTCTCCATTTTGCAACTAAAAATAAGGATGGGGAACAAGGCATATTCTGTATTCTTCTGTGTGTAAGTTTTTAATCAACAAGCATGCATTACCTGTAGAGAAGATCCCTGACTTAAAATGGTTCGACTTACAATTTGCCGACTTTATGATGGTGTGAAAGGAATCTGCGCTCCGCAGAAACCACACTTCAAATTTCGAGTTTTGATCTTTTCCCGGGCTAGCGATGTGTAGTACGACACTCTGTACTGAGGCTGGGCAGCAGCAGTGAACCACACAATCACAAGGGTAAACAACCGGCACTACATCGTGTACCGTATTCCATATGTTACATCAGACATTCAACACTTGGTTACAAAACTGGCTTTGTGTTAGATGATTTTGCCCAACTGTAGGCGAATGTAAATGTTCTAAGCACATTTAAGGTAGACTAGGCTAAGCTATGATGTGCAGTAGGGTAGGTATATTGAATGCATTTTCCACTTACAATATCTACAACCTACAATGAGTTTATTGGGACATACACCATTGTACGTCAAGAAGCATGTGTATAATGGAAACATTTAGAGATAAAACAATAATTAAATCCCAAATGTTACATCTTCCAGCACAGTAAGAAGAGACACAGTAGGACTGCAGCTTCCCCGCTGGTGAAGAGCACACACATGTGCACACACACGTACCACAGGAAAGGGTCTCATGGCCGCTGTTTAATGGGCCACGGGCAGGGCACAGCTATGGGCATGGGATACACTGCCCTTCTGGATGATGCCTGTTTCTCTGTGGCTTCTTGTAACTGTGACTCTTAATTTCCCTAATAATTACCGGAGAGAAGATCAAGCAATTAGGGACTAGATTTCTCTCTTTAAAGTATCATTATAAACTCCTACATTTAACCATATCTGATGTGTTGCAATGCACTAAAGTTAAGACTCTTACTGATGCTCAACTCACCTGTCTTTGTCCAGTAGGAGCCTATTGGCTCCTGAGTCTCTTTACATAAACCCAGAAGTTTTTTTTTTTCCCTATACTTTTTTTTTTTTTAATTTATTTTTTATCATACTTTAAGTTTTAGGGTACATGTGCACAACGTGTAGGTTTGTTATATATGTATACATGTGCCATGTTGGTGTGCTGTACCCATTAACTCGTCATTTACATTAGGTATATCTCCTAATGCTATCCCTCCCCGCTCCCCCCACCCCACGACAGGCCCTGGTGTGGGATGTTCCCCTTCCTGCGTAAACCCAGAAGTGTTTTTTATAACTTCCTTGCTTTTCTGGGAAGTTCCAACTTACAGATTTCCTACCTCAAACCTTGCATCAGCCATTTCTCAAGGAAGCTGCAGTTCCTTTCAGTGGGAATTGGTATTTAGAGCCCACAAATCTGAGTGCTAGGGTGCTCATTGCTACTGGGTTGGTTATTGACTGGGGCCTGGACTTCTGGTCATTTACGTTATTAGGAGAGCATCCACAACTGCTTGGACTGCTAGAATCTTTAGCAGATTCCTAGGTAGTGAAAAACTGGATTCATCTTCGTTGGAAAAACGTTAACTGTCAGAGTTTAAACTGTCTCAGTTTAAACCATGGGACAGGATAAAAGGCCAGGGCAATGCTCCTCACGCAATGCAGGGCATTAAAGCCTGGAACAGCGGGGAAACATCCTAACTTTCTTCAACAACCCACTACACAACCAGTGAGAGGATGGCAACAAGAAAGACCTCAAAGGAAAGAAACAGCTTTTGCATTTAGGGATACTCTTGGGCAGAGAACACCGACTTACTAACGTGGGTGTTCTCACTAAAGACCTAGGGCAAAAAACTTAGAATAGACAAAAAGTGATTCTCTCCTGCCATTTCTGACAGTTGGAGACTTTCCATTAAAAAAGTACTTCAGGAGG